CCCCTCCCACTTTAAACAAAAATGTTTTTAAAACATTAGCCTTTTTTTTCTCTGGCTATACCCCAACACCTCTTACTGTATATTACACCTTTCCCCGCGTGAACAGAGTCCCGTCCCTGCCATGCAAGGCATGCTTTCAACTTGGGCGGCACTCCTGCCCGTCCACACTCCTGACCAGATGACGTCGCTGATGTATAACCACATGACAGCGCAGGTACTGATCCAGGGATAAGTTCCGTTTGCAAGCTCATTGTTAAACGGTTGCAGATATTGTCAGCTGTCGGGTTATTGTATCGGCAACATTTTTAAGTGGCTACCTGGATTAAAGTCAACCTGAACCCTCCATTCTTAAAATAAATGTAAAGAATATTTTTGTACATGGCGTTTCAGCACCCACCTGTGGCCTCACAGAGAGTGGAGACCCCGGTTGTATGCAATAGGTCAAGTGAGTTCCGAATGGAGGACTCAAGAAGACTTTTATGACCCCATGTTTACAGTCTACCAATCACACTGTTATAATAATGGGGACCGATGAGAGCGAAATGAAACTTATTTCTAACTCATTGCCCCTGGGCATGTTTTAACTAAATACAAAGTAGACTTTACCTCGGTATCTGTTTTCTCAGAGCTTGCTATACATCTTATCGCCTTACTTTAGCATCATGTCGTTTTAAGTTGCTGGTTTCACCTAGAAACAGAAGACAGAAGAGCTCTGCCGTCTGGAACTGCATAAAAGGGCTTGGCATTCGTAGGCACTGGTCTTGTGATTTTGTCTCTTTTGTCTCCCTTATTTTTTTTTAATCGAGCCCCCCCCCCTGCACATTTTCACCAAACGCTTATTCTTTTAACATTTCCACCACCTTCCCCCTTCTTAAGTTTCCAACGTAAAATCGATCTTCGGATGCGATTTGACCTGACTTTTGACAATCAAAACAAACAACTTCAACAGCCCGCAAACCACTCGCTTTCGGAACAGAGCCAAAGGAACAAACGTGCGACTGAGACTGTCTCCCTTCACTCTTCTTCCTCCTCTGCTCATCCGTCATGCCAAGAATCCTAACGTTGCGAGACAGATCTGATGCAGCGGAGCCTCGAAGCCCAGGTTCAGACTGTGCAAAGCGCGAAAAGACTTCGAGGTGTGTGTGCGAGAGAGAGTGGAGAGCAGGATACGACACAACAATGGCGTCCACGCCGTGCTGTGGCCGCTTCTTGCTCCTCATCGTCTTCCTAGGACCTTGTATGGCAGCTCCGGCACCTCAAGGTAGGGGATTCGTTGTCCTGCGGATACGATTGTTGCGCTCTTTAAAATATCATTTTTTGGGGAATTTTTAAAAGGCAGAATATTTTGGCAAGTAGGTCAATACATAGCTTACGTCAGAGTTATAGTTCACCGTACCCAATTTCCAACAACAGTGTAAATAGAAAGCCCCTTGAGGATTTCGGAAAGCGGGGTTTTTTTATTTGGGGAGGTGGGGAATTCATAATACTGCCTTGAGGGATGGCTTTATAATAATCTGAAACCATCTGAGCACTGCTTGTGAGTCGAACCTGGATCATCCACGCTCCTACCCTCCGGATATTACTCTCATGGAGTTTTACCTGAGGGGTTATCCAGCAGGTGAAAGTGTTGCGCTATTGGTCTCTGGAGCTGAGAATTCTTTTACTTAAAATTCTAGCAAAGCATTTTACACGTTATCAGAGAAGTTAATAGTTTGTCCTGTAAAGTCAAACTTCAAAGCTTGCAATCAAATCGTTCCAGTTGCCAACAATTCGCCGTCAGTTCAGCTGGTACCATGGATTTGATTGGAATCCCTACCAGACATTCTTGGCATGTTTGAGAAATTTTCGAGGCTCTCCACCCACTGGGTGAGCCATGTTACAGAACGCCATCAAAGCTGGAGGTCCTGCCACTTGAATAACTTTACATATTTAAAGGGTCGTTGGTTACAAGCCATTACAAGCCACACGATCGGCTGTCCATTTTTTAAATCTTCCGTGGCCATTCAAACATAAAGGCTTTACAAAAAGTTAGGAATTAACTTTTGTAACAAGTCGAAGAAGCGTACTCTCATGCTTTTGTTCAAACGAGGGTCAACCAAGCTGTCGTTGATTTTTGTTTCAAACATTTCCCCCCTTTTTTCTATCCTTTCATACTTCTTTCCTCACTGTTTTTTTACCCCCCCCCCACTCCCCCGACTACCCCTCCCTCTTTGTATTGAGCGCAGGTGCCATAATTTTTAAAATCAAACCGGAACTTTTTCTCTTTGAACTGATGCTGTTCTGCCATTTTACAAAACTCTAAATATGTATAGCTATCGAACGTTTTATACACTTTCCTTATCAGCATTGTTTGTATATATGAAAGCTCTACACTATCTGTTTACTGTAACAAGGTTTGTTATATTTTTTCTGTTTCTATTATGTCTTTCAAAACAATTTTAAAGGGTTTTTTTTTCTAGTGACACTGTTTAAGCATTATAAAAATTCTCAGAACGTTCTTTACATTGTTCTCTGTACTGTTTTATTTTTCCTTACAATGATAGTTGTTCCAAGTATTTGCCCAAGGCCGGACAAGTTATTGTCCTCCTGTGAGCTATGACACTGTTTGCACAATTACTTCCTTTCAGGTTTGTGGAGACATGATTATTACTTTATAAGTTTCCGTCTCCGCCGCATCTCAAGCTCCCTAATACTTTCATGACAACGTCTTTACCCCCAGGAGCATTCCTTTACGTATGTTGGTTGGTAAACACAGGTATAAACGTCCGAGCTCTACTGCGCAGTAGGGCGAATTATGTCTTTTTTCGGTACGAATGACATAAAAGCATCACCCCCTTGTCTGTTTCAGTTATCATAGCGAGGATTGACGAGGAAAATGTTTTAATCATCATCATCATCATCATCATCATCATCATCATCATCATCATCATCATCATCATCATCATCATCATCATCGTCGTCGTTGTTGTAGAGTATAAAAATTGTGGAGACTTGGATTACGGTTAGAGAATTTTAGAGTGTTTTTTTTCCTCTTTTACTGAGGTTCAATGTTTCGCCCTTAGACCTTCAGAAACGTAAGTAGGAGTAAAACACCACTATGATAACCTGGGCGTTCACTTACAATACATATTATAATAAATATGTTATAGTGCATGTAAACAGCAGATCTTTATAAATAAGTATAAATAGTTTTGCTGTAATTTTTATGATTATTATGATTGTTATTAATAAACTACTATTACCTAAATTACAATAACTACCATCGCCACCATGTTTTTATCATGATTGTATCACCATCATTGTAGAAAATACTGGAGAATGAACTCTTCCTCCTCGTCCTCCTCCTCCTCCTCCCCTCCCCCTCTTTCTCCTTCTCCTTTTCCGCTTCCTCGTCATCTTCCTCCTCCTCTTCCTCCTCCTCCTCTTAGCCCGCCACCCCCTCCTTTTCATAATTCCTGATGGTGATGGATGATCACCACCCCAACCGTAACCACCATTCTACGATAAATAGAAAAAAGACCGGGCTGAAAAACTGTTACATCTTCCTGAACTTTTCATACCCGGAAATGGCGTACGTCATCTCTAATTTAGAGGTAACACCCACCTGTGTGGCATGCTAAGTACATTTTAGTGATGTCAGCTAAATAGTTGACTGGGGGCATGGCATTAAGGCCTCTAATATCGTCACAACACCGACATCTATTTAGTGAATATGCTTTTGGACGTGTGTCATTTATCTTACTTGGCTCCAGCTCCCTTGCAAAGAAAGAAAAATGCAACAGTGTAAATTGTAGTAAGTCTCTGCGTGTCAGATAAACCCATCCGTGTGAATTACATCTTAAGGGCTTGCTGAGTGAGAAAAAGTTCCAGATTAATGTCAGAGAAAATGTCGGCATCGTTGTGTCAGTAGGGAATTACAGCTGTTATTTTTTTCTGCGCCTTTAGTCAAAAGCTAAAAGACGATCTAAGATAAACCCAGTCCTATGAAACATTTATCTTAACTCCTTAAATACCGTGCTATGAACATTATTTCATGAAAAGATAATCTATTTTAGCTCGGGAACTGTTTACGCTCTTTGGTCTAGGGCTTAAGAATGTTATTGAGGTAACAGAGTTGAGTCAGTGGATCTGAAGAATAAAAAAGGGAAAAAAGAGCGCGCGCACGTGTGCGTGTGTGTGTGTGTGTGTGTGTGTGTGTGTGTGTGTGTGTGTGTGTGTGTG